GTCAGCCTTCCTGCTCCTCTGATGCTGCTTGGCCTGCTGTGTTCTTCCAGCTCTACACCTTGTTATCTCAGATTCTCCAGCATCTGCAGTTCCTACTATCTCTGGAACATCATCTCATCTTCAGACTAGGCACTCTACAGCCTTCTGGATTTAATATTGAGTCAACACATTCAAATTATAAACCCACTCCCATTCCTTGCCTTTCTTTTAGCTTTACTTGTTACATTCTCTGCCGCCATGTCCTCTCTCCCGTGCCCCTATTCCAGTGGGACTGTCTTCTTTCCAGTCTGGCAGTTAGACGCACCATTGTTCTGCCATTCTCACATTCTGATCACTTTATCTGCTTTGTCAACACCTTTTCTCCCCAGCGCTTCCCACCACCACCACATCGCACTCACTCCACCCCCACTATTGCATAAATGCTCCCCTCCACACTTCACAACAGCTCTGAGAGCTTGCTGTCTCCCCATGGATCCTGCCTGACCCACTGTGATCTTCAACATTTTTTGTTTTTAGTACAGATTCCAGCATCTGCAGTAATTTGCTCCTGCATCTATCGGTCTAGAATGGCTCAAAGCATTTCACAGAACAAACAAAAAAAAACTCAATATCAAGTCAAAGAGAGAAGTATTAAGATGGATGACTAAAAGCTTGGTCAAACTCTCAAAAAAGCTATCAAAACAAAACTATCTTGAAGGAAATACATCAGCTCAAGAAACAATTCTCAAAATATAAGTGCTTTCCTACTGCTGTTGGGTTGTGTGGAACAACAAAGTAACTTTGACTGTCAACAGTTCTACAAAAGACCAGCAGCAACAGCGATTTCCAACATAAAGCAAACTTTGGCTGAAAAGTGTCTTGAGACATCCTCAGGATGTGATGATGTAATACAGAAATGCAAATTAATTTGATTCTTCAGTCTTTCTGTCACAAGACGCAGAAAGTCTGAGCAGTGGTGAGTAAGTAAACTGTCTTGCACATTGTCTTATTTACGGGTACAATATATTTAATACGAGTCTCTTACAAAATGTGTGTAATAAAAGTTTGTAGAACCAGAGCTTCATTTTCCATGTTCATCAAAAAAAATAAATATGCTTTTCAGAACAGAACAACAGCTCTGTAAGGTTTATTTTTAAGTTCTTAATCTACTGAGTACTTGCAACACACAACGAAAGGAAAGATATTTGACTTCTCTGCGATAAGAATCAGCAACAATTTTTAATCAAAAGTACCATGAATGAAAATGTAAAAACAGGCTGGAGAAAACTTATAAATAAAAATACTTCAGAAAATTAAACAATCATTGATAATTTAATTTTCATAAAATATTTTTGCTGTACATGTTGACATGGAAATAGAGGTTACACAGTAGTGAAGGTATGGGCTATATGAACACAGTGATATTGAATTAAGTAGTATGTTATTATCTAGAAGTCTATGCTGTATGAAAGGAGACCATGGAGAGGGTTAGCATGCACATGCTTCATATATGAGAAATGTAAAAGAAATGGAGAACAGTGTTTATATAATGTTTGTGAAAATTTGGAAGTTCTTGGAGTACATGTACTGAATACAAGGAGCATGTAGTTTTACTCACTATAAGCATTTAATAATATTCAGGATTGCTGTGAAGTTAAGCAAGTATGATAGAGATCTTTTTCAGTCCCTTATAAATAATTTCACGTTTTTTTCGACATTGATTTCCATTGGAAGTTAAACTGTAAATCTTGAATGAATTGTGACATTTACCACAATATTGTGAAACCTTTATTAATTATGCAGGGAAGGCTTATTGCAGTACACTAAAATTAGTATTTTTTGCACAATGAAAATTTTATGTTGCAGCAATGCTTTTTGTTGCGTTGTATTTTAGTGCTTAAATTTTGGAAAGGCAAATCAGGGCGGGACTTATACACTTAATGGTAACATCCTGGGACGTGTTGCTGAACAAAGAGACCTTGGAGGCTCATAGGTCTTTGAAAGTGGAGTAGCAGGTAGATAGGATGGTGAAGAAGGTGTTTGCTATGCTTGCCTTTATTGGTCAGTGCATTGCGTATAGGAGTTGCGAAGTCATGTTGCGACTGTACAGGACATTGGTTAGGACACTTTTGGAATACTGTGTGCATTTCTGGTCTCCCTACTATAGGAAGGATGTTGTGAAACTTGAAAGAGTTCAGAAAAAATTTACAATGATGTTTCCAGGGTTGGAGGGTTTGAGCTATAGGGACAGGCTAAATAGTCTGGGGCTGTTTTCCCTGGAGCATCACAGGCTGAGGGGTGACCTTACAGAGGTTTATAAAATCATGAGTGGCATTGATATGGTAAGTAGACATGGTCTTTTCCCAGGGTGGGCGAGTCCAAAACTAGAGGGCATAGGTTTAAGGTGAGAAGGGGAAGATTTAAAAGGACCTAAGGGGCAACTTTTTCACACAGAGGGTGGTGCATGTATGGAAAGAGTTGCCAGAGGAAGTTGTGGAGCCTGGTACAATTACAACATTTAAAAAGCATCTGGATGGGTATATGAATAGGAAGTGCTTAGAGGAATATGGTCCAGAAGCTGGCAAATGGGACTAGATTTATTTTAGGATAACTGGTTGGCATGGACAAGTTTGGACCGAAGGGTCTGTTTCTGTGCTGTTTCTGTGCTGACTCTATGATTCTAAATATATCCGTGCTGTGCCAGGTGCTTGCATCAGTGACAGAAATAAATTTTGGATAAAGGTTTCTGGATTAAAACGTAAAATGACAAACAGTAGACAACATATTTACATAAAATTATCTTTTACAATTGCCAAATACAGAGCATTTGCACTGAAAGATACATTTTGAAAAACCGCTAAGGAAATAAACTAAAGATATTTAACATTCTCAGTCATGTTGGATCTTAAAAGTGGAATAATTTATCAACCTTGTTGAATTCTTTAATAAGGTAACTGAGAGAGTACATAGGATATACAGCACAAAAATAAGCTACTTGGTTACACCAGTTTATGCTGAACACGAGACTCCTATCATTCTTCATCTAAATCTACTTTCGAAACATCTATTCCTTTATCTTGCAAGTGCTTGAATACCTCTTAAAATTCTCCTCGTTAGCTCCCCTGTAGTACTAAGTTTCACATTCTTACTGCTGTTTAAGTAAAAAAAAACGTTTCTTCTGAATTCCCTCATGGATTTCTTGATGACGGTCTTATATTGATGACTTTGACTTATGTTTTTTTTCCCACAAAGAGAAAACATTCTATCCGGATCCACTGTATCAGAAATAATCTTAATTATCAAGTTTTCTATTAGGTCACCACTCTGGCTTTGTTAAGAGAGAAGAGACCAAGCCTGTCAATCCTTTCCTGATTTAATAGTTGTAAAGGATTAGTGGTGGGAGAAATGGTGATCAACCAATCACTGTATCTTGAACAGAGATCCCGGCCAAACAGCTCAAAAAAATAAGGCTGAATTAATTAAGTCATCCTAAGAATTCACTGCATTGTAGCATCGAGTGGAGTGCTCCATTGATTCTATAACCCTTTAAACTCTAAAAGCTTTCCTGAATTCTATCGTCAAAAACAAAAAAGATTAAAGGCCATTTCAGCGGTGAGTGTTAATTCTGATAATGCTTACATGTAACTAGAAAGGCTGATGTCCAAACTGCATGTTTTATGGTTGTTAAAATGCAAGATCAGAACGTGCAAGATCAAGAACACCAACATATCAGATTACAGAGACATAGCAACTGTTCTCTTTCATACTGAAGAATGTATTTGCCTTCCTTGACATTTGATGCATCATGTTCAAATTGGGCTCATTATTTAAATTTCAGTATGGATCTTAAGATCTCACAAATAGAAATGGTGAAACATGCAATTTTTTTTTTAAAAGACTGACATGTATTCTCACCATGGAAGAGGCCTTTTTTGCCACAGCTTTGCTGTGATAACACATTGGTCTGAAACAATTTTGAGTAGCTATGATGGAAAAGACCTTAAATGAGGCAGAAATTTGGAGAAAAAGCAGCTTTTACAAAATAAAAACACTAAACGATGCATAAAGTGACCTTTGCACTTTGTTCTTGCAAACAGATTCAGTGCCATGTGGCTTCAATGCACAAGCACCAACATAAGACTTGAGTAGTTGCATACAACGTCTGACTCTAGGTATGAATTGGTTTGGGAATTTACCAGTGTGGAGGTACATAGCTATATGCAGATGTTCCTTGAGTCCTATATGTGGCACGGTGGCCCAGTGGTTAGCACTGCTGCCTCACAGCGCCAGGGACCCGGCTTCAATTCTGCCCTCGGGCGACTGTCTGTGTGGAGTTTGCACGTTCTCCCTGTGTCTGAGTGGGTTTCCTCCGGGTGCTCTGGTTTCCTCCCACAGTCCAAAGATGTGCAGGCTAGGTGCATTGGCCATGCTAAATTGCCCGAAGTGTTCAGGGATGTGTAGATTAGGTGGGTTATAGCGGATTGGGTCTGGGTGGGATGCTTTGAGGTTCGGTGTGGACTTGTTGGGCCGAAGGGCCTGTCGCCACACTGTAGGGTTCTACACTGATCACTGATTTGTATACCCAAATATTTCTGGTAAAATCCTCGATTAACATTCCCTAGTGCCTCTATATCCTTTAGATAATTTAGTGACCAAAATTCTTTCATTTGTGGTCTAACTAAAAGTTCAGTGCAAGTTTACTATGAGCTGCTAAGTTTTCAATTCTCTTTCTCCAGAATAAACACTGTGCCTCTTTTATTTTCTTACAAAAACAGAATTGCCAGAGAAACTCAGCAGGGCTGGCAGCATCTGTGGAGAGAAAAGCGAGTTAACTTTTTGTGTTCAGCAACCCATCAATTCTGAAGAAGTTCTGAATAAGTGTGCTGCCAAAGATGCTGTCTGACCTGCTGAGTTTCTCCAGCAATTTCTGCTTTTGTTGTAGATTTCCAGCATCCACTGTTCTTTTTTTGAAATGGCCTGGCAAACACATGGTGCAACTTGTGGCAATACATGCATTTATACTCCTACCTCCCTAATTTTCCTACAAAAATGTATTACTGCACATTTATTTGTGTCTTATAAATTATTTGTCAATCTGCAGGTAGGCAAGGGTAATGTAGTATGCATAATTTATTTCCCAAAAGGCCCTCAATGAAATTCAACATATTGGCTGAATATTCTGATGACCAGGTTATTGTTGGAGCTGTATAGACTGTATTTGCTGTCAGGACCATGCAGAATCCTCAACACCAACTCCGTGAGAACTGCCCAGGAAATTGAAACTTCCAATGGGCAATTCCCTTGTGTCTGAAACTCTCAAAACAAGCCATAGGAAATAGAAGATAGGAGCAGGAAGGGACCATTTGACCCCTCAAGCCTGCTGCACCATTCATTGTGATTATGGCTGATCATCAAGCTCAATACCCTAATCCCGCCCTCACCCCATATCCCTCGATCGCTTTAGCCACAAGAGCTACATTTACATCTTCCTTGAAAACACAATGTTTTGGCCTCAATCGCTTTCTGTAGTAGTGAATTCCGCAGGCTAACGATTTTCTGGGTAAAGATGTTTCTTCTCATCTTAGTCATAAAAGGTTTACCCTTATCCTTAAACTGTGACCCCTGGATCTGAACTCCCCGACCATCAGAAACATGCTTCCTAAATCTAACCTATCTAGTCCTGTTAGAATTTTACAGGTTTCTGTGAGATCCCACCTCATTCTTCTCAACTCCAGTGAATACAATCCTAACCGGCCCAGTCTCTCCTCATACATTGTCCTGCCATTCCAGGAATCAATTTGGTAAACCTTTGTGCTGCACTCCCTCTATAGCAAGAACGTTTTCAAATAAGGAGATTGAAAATGGACACAATATTCCAGGTATGACCTCACCAATGCCCTGTATAATTGCAGCAAGACATCCTTGTTCCTGTACTCAAATCCTCTCGCTACGAAGGCAAACATACAATTGCCTTCTTTACTTCCTGCTGCACCTGCACGCTTACTTTCAGGGGCAACCAATAGAGGAGTATAAATAAGGTGAATGGCAGGTGTCTTTTCCCTAAGGTGGGGATTTCAAAACTAAAGTACTTATTTTTAAGGTGAGAGGAGAAAATTAAAAAAAGGCATGAGGGCCAACTTTTATACACAGAGAGTGGTTCGTGTGTGGAATGAACTGCCAGAGGGAGTAGTGGATTCAGGTGCGGTTGCAACATTCAAAAGACATTTAGATAAGTACATGAATAAGAAATGTTTGGAGAGATATGGGCCAAACGCAGGCAGATGGGATTAGTTTAGGTTGGGATTATGGTCAGCATGGGCCAAAGGGTCTGCTTCCACGCAGTAAGACTCTATGACTATATAAACACTCATCCATGTACCTTGTAACCTACCTTTTACCCACGTGGCACACAATTCTGTTACTAACCTGCCATCCACCCTACCCCGTCACTGATATTACATACTTACCTTTCCTCAGTCACTTTCAAACTGACTTTGAGACCTTTAACCCCCAAAACACAGCAGGATGTTCGAAGGGGCATGTCTTGGTCTGTAGCACAACTCCTAAGCTGAATGGGCTTTTTCCTGGTTTCTTTCCATGGACGAATTAGGGACTGGCCAGTCTTGGAAACTGGGCCAGAAAAATCACCAAGAGGTATATTGGTAATTTTAAAGAGAAATACCATCAGTCGAACCTGTTTGAATGTACTCACAATATTTGGACCAATAAATTAATGAAGAGTGAAACATAAATGTAATTAATGCAGAGTCCGGGGACAAATTTCTTATAATTCCTTCATGAGCTGGGAGTATTGTTGGAAAACTCAGCATTTATTCCATTCCCGAACTGCCATTGAGAACAGCCACCTTTCTTTTAACTGATGCAAATAAACATTGCAGTTAGGAAGGGAATTCCAGGTTTTTGATGAATTTTTGAGGGTTCATTTTTCATTCTCACTAGGTCGTTTGTTAGATGTTGGAGCCACATAATCACAGTACCTTCCATATTTGTGTTGACAAATGGGATATTTGGACTCACGCAGATGCAGATTTGGAAGAATCCAACACTATCCTTAGTAACCATTACTACTCTGTTAAACTTAAAGCAACAACATCACACAAATAAAGCATGAATTTCATGACAGTGTTTAAATTGGCATGGGATAACAGGTATAAGTTAGCAACTTGTTTTTTTTTTAATAACTGATGCACCTATACACAAAATCCATCACAATAACCATGCTTTCCAAGGTCACATCTAAAAGGTTGCATGTTTGTCTCTAACTCAGTCACTGCACCTCAAGTAACTCACAGCACATGAGATACTTGGAGATGTGACAACTCAACAATGTAAACCTTCATGAAATTAACTGATGTATTAAATTATCCTTTTGACAGGATTCATCACAATAGTAATGTTTATACAGTACACAATTCCTTTGTTGAAATGTTCAAAACTGCTCTCTCTTTTGTTGCTTCACTCTCCCACACTTTTCTGTTCCTCTGTCCCCCTTTGAGGACTGACTTTGCCCTCCAGCCCTTTGCTTTGCTTCCTAGCCCCACCATCCTCACTTTCATGCCTCTATCTCTGCCAAGGGTCCTGGCTTTGCTTGGCCACTTGCTGTGCTCCAGCCGCACTTACTCCAGTCCACTTGCTCATTTCTACCATTAACCTTCTCATTGCATTCATAGGCTACTTTTCTTCCATCATTTTCTGATGATAAATTCACTGTGAGCCTATCAGCAGCAGGTATGAAGGAGAAACAACCTCTGATTAGATGAACAGCCTTCACAAATCCTAACTGTCTGAGATCATAGAATCCTTACAGTGTAGAAACAGGCCATTCAACCCATGGCGTCCATACTGATGCTCTGAAGAGCATTCCACCCAGACCCAGCCCCCTACCCTATCCCTGTGACTCTGCATTTCCCATGGCTAATCCAACTAGCCTGCAAATCCCTGGACACTATGGGCAATTTAGCATGGCCAATCCACCTAACCTGCACATCTTTGGACTGACACGGGGGAGAATGTGCAAACTCCACTCAGACAGTTGCATGAGGGTGGGATCGAACCCAGGTCCCTGGTGCTGTTAGGCAGCAGTGCTAACCACTGAGACGCCATACCACCCCATATTAGGGCAATTTTTATCTGATTGTTCATGTGAGTGAATCATCCTGGACTGTTCTGGGGCTTTGGGGGGGCGGGGGGCAAATCTGCCCACCATCCCAGTGTATTTTCAGTTTTGGTATATACAGTTTGGTCCACCATATTTTAAAGATGATTAACAGACATTGAGAGAGGGTAAAAACAAAAGAAAAAGGATCATATCAGAACTTCAGGAAAAAGATGAACAGGCTGGGCCTCTAACAAAAACAAAATTGCTGGAGAAGCCCAGCAGGTCTGACAACCTCTGTGAAGGAAAAAAACAGAGTTAATGTTTCGGGTCTGATGACCCTTCCTCAGAACAGGCTCTCTAATGCATTCAAAAGTAAAGGCTATAGAATGGCTGAATAGAGATCTTTAAAATGATGAAGATCTTTGTAGACACTGAGAGAGTATTTCTACTTGTGGGAAGAAAACTTGAGGTCATCAGTGAGAGATTGTCACCAAAAAATTCATATAAGGAGTTCAGAACAAACTGGTCAACCTGTACACTGGTGAAAATGTGCAACTTGCTACTAAGGAAGTGGTTAAATCAAACATATATGTATTTCAGGGAAGGTGAAATAAGCGTGAGAAGGAGAAAGAAGTAGGGAGGATTATTCTGATCAAGTTAGATAAGGAAACATGGTTCAGTGGAGTATAAATCCTGGTATGGTGTGGTTGGGCCAAATAACCTGTTTCCATGCATATAAAATCCAGCTCATTTTATTTAATATTCAATTACTTTTGTGCATAAAACCTGAACTATAAAAAAATGCTTTAGCAGTAACAGACAAGGATATTTACAATTCTGTATTATGTTATTCATGTAAATTGCATGGAGATATTTTGAAAGGGAAAAGTTTTATCTTTCCAAGAGCCTTAAAGAAAATAATCTGGTCTTCATGGATTTTTAAAAGGTTCCTTAGGTTAGAAACAGTTTGGGAGAAGAGTGGCAACTCTGTTTGATAATATTATGTATTTATAACTGCTGTCCTATTACATGCTTTATAACAGACTCTAATAATTTTTGAGTAACAGACGTTAAGTAGTAGGATCAGAAAATTCTTCTGTGGAGAGATCTTTAGCCCTGACACAGAATCTGCCTAATGTGCATTGTCCTTTTGCAGTGTTGTATAAATGACACTGCAGTGTGATATGATCTAAAAGTTATATTTTTGTCTGAGGTGGATCTTAACTTCACACATAATGTAAAACTGGACTGGAGTGAATTGGCAGCCAACTTTATCATCTCTCCTAACTAAAGTGGAACTAACAGTGAGAACATCTTCTATAACAGCTTCATACAATCACACAGAGTCAGTATCTACCCGTTAATCTTACTGGGTGTTGATTTTTTGGTGTTGACGCATTTTCTGGAACTTCATTGAAGTAGCCATTCTTCATTCAAGAGTGAGACATTGATCAGTAGGTTGTTACCGTAAAAGGTTCTTGTCCTGCTAACATACAGGGTGACTGAATACTTTTTGGGAGTTTGAACTATGGGGTAATTCAGTTACAGCAGCCCAAATGTTGTCATGTCTGAAACCAATTAACACTGCACAGGATAGGGAATCAAACTTCAGTACTTCTACACTGTGTGCCTAACTATTACCTGATGGATCTCAAGCATTTGATTTTGAAATCAAATCAAGTGTGTAATTTTTTCAGTTTCCAAATGAACTTTGTTGGTTTTTCTCTTTCAGAATGGTCTGTTTGGGAGAGGTTCACCAGCTGCTGAGGAAAGAGCCATAATAATGTTATCAGGTCTCACACTACTCGCATGTTTCCTATTTTATCTCTCTACCCATCCAGCTATCATCTGGGGAAATGAATTTAAGCCAGCAGCAGCCTCGCCGATTATCCACAATAAGCCATTTATTGTGGTTTGGAACACACCTACAGCGGGGTGTAAAACAAAATTTGATGTTGATTTGGATCTGAGCGTCTTTGATATTGTTGAAAATGCAAATGAGACCTTTGTTGGAAAGAATATCACCATATTTTACAAAAACAAATTAGGACTTTACCCATACTACACCAGTGAGAGGGTTCCAGTAAATGGTGGTCTTGTGCAGAACACCAGTCTGTCCAACCACCTCAAAGTAACTTCAGATGACATTTCCACTGTACTGGATAAAGACTTCCATGGGCTCGCAGTGATAGATTGGGAAGAGTGGCGACCACTTTGGGAACGTAACTGGGGCCTTCTGCATATCTACAAGGAAAAGTCCGCAGAACTAGTAAGAAGCAAATACCCCTATTTACCAGAAAGTAAGATTCTCCAGATTGCCAAAGAGGAATTTGAAAATGCTGCACAAGATTTTATGAAGCAAACATTAAAACTAGGACAGACTCTGAGACCAAAGGGTCACTGGGGCTATTACAAATTTCCAGACTGCTATAATTACTTTAAAGAAAATGAAGCTAACAATTACACAGGTCATTGCAAAAAGGAAGATATCCCTAGAAATAACGAGTTAGCATGGCTCTGGAAGGCATCGCGATGCCTTTATCCAAGTATCTACATCCCTGAGAAGCTAAAATCCTCAAATAATGCTCAAAAGTTTGTTCACTACAAGATTAAGGAGGCTCTCCGTGTTGCTGCCCTTGATTCAGCCAATGATGCTCTGCCTGTTTTGGTTTACTCCAAATACTCATACATAAAAAGACTTGACTTCCTGACTGAGGTAAGCAAGACATTGTTCCAAAATAAGTCAAATGGCTGAAATCGTATTCAATAAAGCAATTTGTGATGCTGCTATCGTGGATTATGATACTTGAATTTCAGTCTCAGTTTAAGCCATTTTTCTAAAAACCAAAAGAACTGCGGATGCTGTAAATCAGGAACAAAAACAAAGTTGCTGGAAAAGCTCAG